TCCTCCCCCGGCTGGTGCCTGCTGACCTGTGCCACAGGGAGAGCGTGGAGAGAAGGGCGACGAAGGCACCCCGGTAAGTGATGACCCCCTAGGACCACTGCCCCCCTCCTACTGCCCCCCACTCACCCCTTCTCTTCCCGCAGGGTGAAGCAGGTCTGCCTGGCAAACCCGGAGACAGGGGCCCCCGGGTAAGTGTGGGGCTGGCGGGGACCCCAGGGTGTGGGGACCCCAGGGCAGGCAAGATGCCCGGTGGCCTCAGGGTGGCTCCTGCTAATGCACACCCTCCCTCTGCCCCCACCCAGGGCCTCCCCGGCTACCGTGGCCCCCCCGGGGAGAAGGGTGACTCTGGGGACCCAGGTCCCGAAGGCAGGAATGTGAGTACCACTTCATGTGCACCCACTGCCCCATGGGGGGCACCCATCACCCCATGAACCCCATTGCCCTGCATCTACCCCTACCCCATGGGACCCACTGCTTCACGGGTCCCCCGTCCCCTCCTCCCCTCATCCTGTCCCTCTCTCCCGCAGGGCAGCCCTGGAGCACCAGGGAGCAAGGGTGACCGTGGGGAGCCGGTGAGTGACACTGGGGGGGGTGGGGCGTGGGGCCCCCGGCCTGGCCACCACCCCAGAGCCAGCCCTGCCCTCCCCAGGGCTGTGCCAGCTCCCCTTAACCTGCTTCCCTCACCCTTCTTTCAGGGGCTTCCCGGACCCCCAGGACGAACCGTAAGCTCTGCCCCCACTCCTCTCCCTACCCACGGGCCAGTGCCCAGCCCCATGTGCTGACAGCCCCTCTCTGCCCCACAGGTCGATGTGGGGCTCGGAGGAGTGGGGGAGAAGGGTGAGAAGGTAATGAGTGGGTCTCCTGGGATTCTGGTGGCGGGGTGCCCTGTGCTGTCCCCCACTGGGCTCTGGCTGTGTGCTGGGGTCCCAGTGCACCAAGCCCTCCCTGCCCAAAACAGCCCCCACCATGTGGAGCTGATGTGCGCTATGGCTGAGAGACACATGGGATGCAGGGGGATGTGGGGTGTGGGGGGCACATGGCGTCAGGGGGCACAAGCAATCCAGAGGCGTGTGGGCTGCGCTCGTGCGTGGTGCTGGGAAGAGGGTGATGGAGCAAAAGGTGCCCGTAGAGCTTAGATCCTCAAAGGAGCCAGCGTGCTTGTGGCTCCCCAGCCCCACAGGGATCCCACAGCAGCACCCCATGCTCTGGGTGCTCGTGCTCTGCTTTTACAAGCCAGCTTGGGCTCAGGGCAGTTTTGGCCATGGGCTGTGCTCTGCAGGGTGCTGGAGGGTGCCTTGGTCCCTGGCCACGGCCAGTGCCTTCCCACTGGCTCTGCTGGCTCTTTTTTCAGCCCGTGCCCATATTTTCAGAACTTTGCTATTATGCCACCCTTAAATCATGCAGCATAAGCAGAGATGCTCAGCACGGGCTTGGCACAGGTGTTTGCGCTGGTGGTGGGGCAGTACCTTCTAACTGTGGTGCCCTTCCCTGGCAGGGAGACCCTGGGGACCCCGGCGAGGATGGTGCAAAGGGTGCCCGGGGCGATGCCGGCTCCCCTGGCCTGCCTGGAGAGAGGGTAGGCACTGGGTCTCTGGTGCGGGAGGCGTCGGGACAGGAAGACGGGCAATATTCTGCGGGAGAGCTGGGGGTCCTGTTGTGCAAGGGGCTGTGGGGGAGCCCCCAGGACCCCCTCCTTTCCCCCCATGCCCCAATGCTGATCATGTCTCTCTTGCAGGGCGTGGAGGGTCCCCGTGGCCCCCCTGGTGCACGGGTGAGTGCCCCCTTCCCCACGGGGGGCTGAGCGGGGGGTCTGCACCCTGCTTGGCTCCTGTTCAGGGGCGACAATGCTCACTCCTCTTCCCACCCCACAGGGTGACCCTGGGGACCGAGGCCTGCCAGGAGAGAAGGTGAGGGCATAGGGGGCTGGGGGCTGTCCCACAGCACCCTTGTCCTGCCCCACAGCTTCAGCCCTCCTGCCCTGCTCTCTTACAGGGGGACCGCGGCCCACCGGGGCTGGATGGCCGCAACGGGCTGGAAGGCAAACCCGGGCCCCAGGGTGGGGGTGTCCCTGCCCTCACCTCCTCCCTGGCTGCAGGGGGATCTGGGGAAGCAGGGGGACCCCGGCCGGGACGTAAGTACCTCCAGGGAGAGCGGGTTTGGGTTGTGCTCCCACTGGGGCCATCGTGCTTGCAAAGGACCGACGTCCTGTCCTGTGCTCCTTGGTCTGGGGCAGCACAGTGAGACCGTCCCCTGTCCTTGTCAGGGTGCCACCATCCCAGCCATGCTCCCTCCTCCCAGAGCTGGCTGGGGAAGGCAGGTGCCCTGCTGCCCTGTGCTCCCCTGTCCTCCCCTGTTCCCTTTCTCTGCAGGGGCTGCCTGGGCTGCGTGGGGAGCAGGGACCACCTGGCCCCGTGGGCCCCCTGGGACCACCCGGTGTCCCTGTAAGTACTGGCCACCCTGTGCCCTGGGGACACATCCTGTCCCATGCCCTCTGCAGTCAGTCCCAGCCAGCTCCATCTGCCGGGGCTCACCCCCTGCCTGGATGCCCCTGCATGCTGGGGCTCTGGTGGGCCCGGGGACCCCCAGCTGCTGGTGCTGGAGGGGGGTCTCACTGCCTCTGCTTCTTCCCAGGGCAAACCCGGTGACGATGGCAAACCCGGCCTCAGCGGCAAGAATGTGAGTAGGGGGAGCGGGGCTTGGCTTTGGGGCTTGCCCAGGGGTCCTGGGGGCCAGGGATCCCAGTCCAGCATAAAGAGGTGGGCATGTGGCAAAAGGCCCCTGGGCTCTGAGCTATGCCCCTGGTGCTTCTCCCCATCCTGTGTGGTGCCTGTGCCAGGCATAGCTGGGGTGCTTCAGCTGGGTGCTGACTGGTAGCTTGTGTCCCCAGGGAGAAGACGGGGTGCCAGGAGAGGACGGGAGGAAGGTAAGGAGCGGAACCCCGAGTGGTCCCTGTGCGGTCTCTGCAGAGTCACCACACACCCGGTGGCTTCTCCCTGCCTGGGTCCAGGAGCATCATTTTGGGGCAACATCCCTCTAACTGCTTTCCCTCTAACTCCTTTCCCTCCTGGTTAGGGAGACAAAGGTGACATGGGTCCCCCTGGCAGAGATGTGAGTACCTCCCGGCAGAGGAGCATGGTGATGGGGGGTGGAGGGTGCATGCCCCCACCAGCTACAGACCTGAGCACCCAGGTCCTGGGGGTGACACTGCTCTCTTGGTAGGGCCGCAGCGGTGCCAAGGGCGAGCAGGGGGACAGAGGTGTGCCAGGCCCCCTTGGCCCCCCTGGCCTCCCTGGTGTTCCGGGGCAGGTTGGTCCCCCAGGCCAGGTACGTAGTCCTCGAGCCCATGGTGTCACCCAGCACTGGACCCTGGAGTCTGGGCTGCCATGGGGCGGTCAGGACCCCTGCCCACAGCTCCCTCAGGGCACTGTGCCATGTCCATGGGTGCTGGGTGCCATTGTGTCCCCTCTGCGTCCTCCAGGGCTCGCCAGGCCTCCGTGGGGTGGCTGGACCGAAGGTAGGTGTGCTCCTGCCCCTGAGCCCCACAAGGCAAAGGTCTGGGGGACCCCATGCCAGAGGGGATGAATCCTTGGTGGGACTCCCTGCCCCCCAGACCTGACCCTGACACCCTTTGCTGCATTTCAGGGGGACCCGGGGGAGCCCGGACTGCGAGGGGAGCCGGTAAGTACCCAGCACCAAGCCTGACAATCTGGGAGCACCCCGGGGTGGTGGCAACCACAGCCCCTGCCCAGGCAGCACCAGCAGCATTAACTCTGAAACCTACTGAGGGTAGCATCAGCACTGATCACCTCACCCACTGCACCTCTGTACATCTTTGCATTCTCTCTCTCTCTGCAAACCTAGGGGCGACCTGGCAACCCTGGAGCACGCGGAGACCCCGGGACTGCAGTGGTGAGTCCCTCCCCGACCTGCTGGGCTGGGATGTCAGCCCAGCAGACAGAGGACCATCCACAGCCCCCGTGGTGGGAGCAAGCCAACACCTGCTTTGTGTTTAATGTCTGGTTTTTTGCAGAACATTGAACGTAGCCTAGAAGCGCTTGGCATCAAGGTATGTAGTCCCCGCCTGTTGGGCTGGGGGCTGTTCCTGCCACACAGCAGCAGGAGGGGAGACATGGGAGGTGGGGGGAGACCCAAGTGACCTGGGACAGGTTGGCAGGGACATGGGGTGCTGCTGCAGCCGGGTTGCACTGACCCCTTGACTGGTGGCTCTTTCCTTCCTCCCAGATATCCTCCCTGAAGGAGCTCACGGGTGCTTACGACGGGAGCTCGGACTCATTTTTGCCGGTGTCTGAGCGGCTGCGGGGCCAGAAGGGCAGCCGGGGGGAGCCAGGAGAGAGAGGGCCTCCAGGCCGAGAGGTGAGTGGAGCGGGGCTCGATGCCATGTCCAAACACGCTGCCCCGCTCCCCCTTACCCAGGCTGGCTGCAGGGAGCCATGCAGCCGGCTCAGCCTTGGGATGCTTGGGGGACCTCACAGCCCTGGCACAGGGCTGGTTCTGGCAGCATGGTGTTATATTTTGCAGGGTTCCTTAGGCTTCCCCGGTGAGCGAGGACCCAAAGGTGACAAGGGAGA